AACTATTCTATGATTCTGTGATTCTATATACCTTCTGGCACTAAATGCCTCCAACTCAGCCCTGCCCACCAGGTCAGCTAAGCACAAAATATTAAAATTCCAGGATATATTTACTGTTCTTGCTTCCCTCACATCTCAGAAACCTCAAGAAAAGGGGAAGGGGAAACCTCAGCCCTCCTTGTGTAGTGATAGGGAAGAAGAAAGAAGTGCTCTTTAACCTCTTTAGGGTGCCTGAGAGCTTCTTTAGAGGGAAACTGAAGAACAGCATGAAGACTACTGTCCACACGTGCATCTTTCTCACACGCTGTCTTGTACATGCTGTCCTGCACATTTTCCCAGCTTTATTCTTCAAAGCCCTTTTGTTTGCACTTTTGTAACATGTGCTTCAAGGAAAAAGAAAGACGCCAACATTTACCTGGGAAGCCTGTTGAACTTGTGTGTGACAACAGCAGACTTTCCATTGCACTTCTCACAGGAATACTCAATCTCCTCTGCCTGTTTAAGAGAACAGAAAAACGACTGATGGAACAAAAGACACAGCAAACTGATTTCAGCGAAAGCACATCACTTTTGGCTGTCACGGAAGCTCTTCAAAACAGCAGTTATACTTAAAATTAAAATCACCTTCAACATGACCTAACAAGAAGGCATATGATAAGGGGACAGGGAGCAGAGCTTACATGTTGACGACATCCACTAACATATGTGGATTTTTTCCCACGAGTCTATTGCAGGCGAGTGAATTAGCCACAATTGAAAAAAATTAGCTTCCAAAGAGAAGGAACAATCTCGTAAGGTTTAGTTTTCACTCCCATAGTGAGGTGTTTTTTTCATAATAATCTTTGGTGAAAGACAATTTGACATGAAGTTTTCTCTCTCTTGTTCAAAACCTCAACTTTGCTCCTGAAAAGCTATCCTTATCTAAACTTGCTAAGGATGTGCTGAACCAGAGCACACTTTTAAACAGACAGCAAAAAGGGAAGCATCAGTGTGCTGAAATTCCATGACTTAGCTATCAAACATTTCTACAGCCATTTTCTTTAAGTAAGACCAAATGATCACTATAATTAAGACTTTTTTTTTTAAATTACAAGACTTCCACCAGCTTTTAGAAGAATAAGCATGTCAATTATGCTGCTGAAAAACACTATCTATAAATGGAGAAAAAACCCCACAAGTCTGTCTCAAGATATGGCAAAACACGTCACTGATTTACAGACGTAAGGCTCATATTTAGCTTTCAGAAACATCACATTGAAGCTCTACTTACAAAATGAGCATCCACATACTACAGCTATTTTTTTTATTGTATCTGCATGACCTTTTTCTTCCATGCTAATTTAAGGCTGTACATAAGCTGTTGAAATGCCCTCACCCAGGAGAGGAAGCAGCAATTCCTGAGTAATTATCTCAGCCTGACAGCCCCCCTCTCTCCTTTGTATTTGTTTATGCCTCAACTCTTCCATCACAAAATGGGAAGTTTACCTATTTCACAGCAGTACTGTAAAGATCAGTTAATGTCTGCACAGCGTTTTACAACAAAACCTACTGTATATTGTTAATGTACAAACCCAAAAAGTACAAAGTTAATTATTTCACATGCCTGCAATCACTGTCATAGAAACTATTAATCAGCTATACAATAAAAATTTCCATGCGGCACATAACCTGTGCATACTTCACAGTGAATAAAACAACTGCCCCAGAAATATGTACCCGAAAAAAGAGGTCAAGGGAATCCTGGATTGATCGGGAAGGAAGCAATTTCTTTCTTCGAGGAAGGTCAATGGAGAGGTCATTAAACTGTTCACGTTTAGTGACTGTTTCACCACACCTAGAAAAGAAACATGTTTATGTAAGTCTAACAAAAAATATATATGAAATTAATAGCAACTTACATTTTTTAGGCTAAAGTAACTTCCCAGTAAATATATGGCTCTTGATCCATCTATTTTTACTTAAAATGGAACTATTTCATGCTTATGACAAAGTTGAATTTGGGGATTTTACTTTGATGCTTTAGAAGTTGAAAGAAACATTTGTTTAAGGGCAAGAACAAAAAAAACACAGAATGCTTTGGAGAGGCAAGTGATCAGGTATACAGGAAATCAAAGTGGCTGCTATGCATCTGAACACATCTTCTTCATTCTGCTGAATGAAGAAAAGGAAGTGAGTCTAGCCCCGAAGAAGGGAAAGACTAGAAATACTTTCAACTGTTTTTAGGAAGAAATTAGTAGAGTCCATCCTCAAAAACAAAAAACTTGAACCAACCAACCAACCAAAAAAAACCCACCAAAACCAAACAACCAATAACAAAAAAAAACCCCACCCAAAAACAACAACAAAAAAACTCCACAACAACAACAAAAAACCACACACAAAAAAAAAAAACACAACAAAAAAACAAAAACCAAAAAAACCCCACAACAAAGAAAACCCCAAAAACCCAACAAAAAAAAAAACCTCCCACCAAACCTCAATTTTCTTACACTATTTTTTGGAATTTAAAAAAAAAAAAAAAAAAAAAAAAAAAAAAAAAAAAAAAAAAACAAAAAAAAAACAACAACCAAAACCCAAACCAACCAAACAAAAAAAACCCCAAAAACAAAACAAAACCAAAAACCAAACCCCAAACCCTATAATAATTTGTCTTCATTAATTATTAGCTGCATGCAATTTACTTGTAATTATTTTAGGGAACTAACGCAGCACACACAAACTAATATTCCCAAATATCTGTGTTCATGAAAACTCTGTGGCATGCAAGCACCCAGAGTGGCAATCTGCTGCACAGGTCATACAAAACAAATGCCCAGAAAAAGAATCAGAGAATCAACTAGGTCAGAAGAGTTGATTCTACTGGTTGACATACTAGTCTACATCTTCTTCCACAATAACCTACAGAGACAGAAGAAAATGCCACTCCCTGGAAGCCCTTAGAAAGAACAAATTAAAATCATGGCTTCTCATTCTTTTAAGAGATAACATTACTTGGCTGAAATCCCCTTTTCTCTCTATTCTCATAGAACCAGTACACAAAAAACAAAGCACAAAGGCTTTCCACTGGATATGCAATGAAGAACCAGATGGTATGAGACTGTTCAAAGAAGGCCTGTAGCAGCAAACAGCATGGTGTGAGGTTTACAGAATTTTTAGACCATAAAATATTTTCTAAATATCTATCTTTGGAACAGACAAAGTTCTAGTTCTAACCTGCAGATGAAGTCACATAAGACAGGAACACTTAAGCATCATTTAAGGTGAGGATGAGAAAAGCTCTCAAGCATACTTACATTTTGCAAATGATAGAATGTTGAACCTCAAACTCTAAGTTACTGATAACTGGACACGTATAAACTTTGGTGGCTGAGACATCATCAGAAGCTCGTCCAGGTGAGTTCTCCTCATTCGGGACTGGCTCACTCTTCCAAGTTTTGTTTAACTTTTCCATGTCTTCCTTCAGCTGATCCAGGCACTGGCTCAAGAACTCATGTGCGTCCTAGAAACAGGGTAAACTCAAAGCGATTCTGTACAACTCCATTCAGTATCTTTCTCTCAAAACACACACAGACTGGGGAAACTGTATTTTAGTTCACTGCATTCAGCAATACTGAGGCAGTTCTGCTCTAAAAAACAGCAGGCAGTCATCGTCATTCAGTCAAAAGCTCAAGTCACCATCAAATAGAGCTGAAACTTGAAAGGCATTCAGTGCAGTCCAAACACTGAACAAATTACACATAACTGTTTCTAGTCAATATGGTACTCACGTTTTGCATGTACCCAGAAAATCTCTCTGCAGTAGCTGAAATGGCACTTTTCACTTTCTTGAGCAGCTCCTTCTTAACCTCAGGGCTGCAGACATCCTTTTTAGCAAGCAGATGGGCAAAACGTCTGCAGAAGTCAATGCAATGAAACACTGATTGGCTTTCCGGGACTTCAGAGAAACAAAATAACATTCACGATACCTCACTTTAAGTATCTCTAAAAGTTTTTGTCCTGTGTAAGTGGCTAAGTGGCTCTGTATGAAAATTTATCATATACAATTAACCTTTTCCACTTCAAGTATTTTGAAGTCTCACTGAGGCTATCATTGAAACAGGACCCAAATGAACAAAAAAAATTCACAACCTTTTAAGGTAAAAAGCCTTAGAGTTCTAGAAACTTATTCCTGCTATACTTTTTACAAGAAGGTAAAAAAAAGCCCAACACAGCGCTTTTTGAAAACATTTGTACTGATAGGAAACCGAAAACAACAACAACAAAAAAAAAACCCACACAAAACCCCAAAAAACAAAAAAAACCCAAAAAACCTCCAAAACACATGGCACCAAAACAACCAACACAAAATCATTAAATTCAATTTGCATGGTCAGATTAGTTTCTATTTTTTTCTGCTTTGCCACTAGGAATACAGACGATATAAAATTTGCCCTGTAACTCAGCATTGCAATTTTTAAGAGCCTACTTCCTATTTCTAAATTAAAACTCCAAAATACAAACAGCTCTAGGATTTCTTTTATTATCTACACATGCAAATTACCCTCTACAAAGGTGCTTCAGTATTACAAAATTAATTTCTCAGTAATGACAGAAAACATCTTTCCCAGAAAAGTGAATTTTACCTGATAAGGGCATTGAGTGGGATTTTTTTCCATGGGATACCCTGCTTCAGCAAATCATTAGCAAAAGACTGAATAGAAAACAAGGACTGTAGAATGGCATTCATGTAGCAGGTGTTTCCCAGGTTTGAAAATCTGAGGGGAAAAAAAAAAAAAGAAAGACTGAACATGGTACCTGTGTCAATATATAAACGTGCCAGTGCTAAACACAGCACTACCAACATGTACGACATTCACCCCAGCCACTCTCCAGAGTTTCTTATTGGATCTGTCCTCCTGCCCTTCAGACTAAACTGAAAACTCGTGGGAGGTGGCATTTATCAGGAAAGAACCAATGAGTTTCTATAATCAAAATTTAAAAAATAGTGTGCATATACACAAGATAGAGAAATTAATCATGAAATTGTATGAGAGGAACATGAATTAACTGAAATTATTGTATCTCTACAATTGTCAGGAAGTGAATTTAAGCATACTTATTTTCCAAACTAGGAAAAGTATTCCCTGTCTCAGTGACCATTAATGATTTTTTTTTCCTATTAAATAATTCTAACAAGAATGTACATGTTCTGATGATTCAAGTGCGCATGTTAGATAAAGAAAATTAAATTTACCCTTGTAATTGTTGTTGAGGATGGGTGGAAAGTGGCACTCGGGGTTTGTTCCACCCTGTGTAATCTTGATTAGATCTCATTTTTTTAACAGAAAGAGGAGCAGGCTGAGAAAGAAATCCCAGGCTTCTTTTGGCTGAAGGGGTCTGGCCGGATACACTAGACCTAAAAACATAAAAAGGGTAAGGAGTGTAAGATTTCTAACACTCTTCCTTAAATAGCTATAGTCCATGACACTGGAATTGTATCACTATAGAAGACAAGGACTGGTAATGCCACACAAGATAACTGGCATGTATCATAATGCAAAAGAGGTGTGAGAGAAAGGGAACTTTTCCTGAGCACTTTAATACTTTGGTTAAATTTCCTTACATCCACAGGTGTGCATGCAGTGTAACCAAGTCTTTTACCACAGAATCGCAGAATGGTTCAGGTTGGAAGGGACCTTAAAGATCATCCAGTTCCAAACCCCTGCCCCGGGCAGGGACACCTTCCCCTAGACAGGTTGCTCAAAGCCTCATTCAACCCAGCCTTCAAGATAACCTTTGTCTTTAAGATAACAGTGAAGATAACAATTTCTCCACACTGTATGATGAGAGAAAGAATGATCATGTAAGCATGAGATCACCTCTCCTAAGATATGCTTAAAATTCACATCTGGGCCAGAGTCTTATTTTTCAGCCCCTTGCAACCTAACCACTCAGTCCCTCATGTGTAAAGCATGGACAATGCTTCTTTTCTATCTTGATCCTGTATCTCATCTATCTAGGACAGAGACCAACAGTTTGACTGTGCAGTGTCTCATACAGAAAAATTCCAACCTCAGTAGGATTCAGTATTATATATAATACTGAATATTATATAGTTCCATACCATGTAGCTACTTGGGAAAATGAAGCAAGGATTCAGTCTAAAGTTCCAGAGTTTATATAGGATTTGAACTATCTAGAGCTTAGATACATCTGGATCAGTCATTCCCAATGACTATAACAGACTTGGGTGATTTTAGAAAGTCTGACTATTGCAAGCAGTAACCGGAGTTTGAAGATGTAATTAGAGCAATTGTAGCAACACTGAGTAAAATGAAATGTGTGTATACATATATTTACACATACACACACACATTTTATGCATATAACCTATATACCATGAGATAAACACCCAGGAAACTGAAGATCCTAATTCCTGGGAAAGAACTGTCATTGTTCATGCTAGTTCATGCTAGTGAATCAGTCCTACCTGTCCAGGGTGGAACTGCCAGTGGAGTACTCTTTTGATGAAGACCGACTACTATAAAAGGATGATGACTGCAGTGGCAAAATACCTTGAAAGACAGAAAGAGGGGCAAGTCATTTTGTTCCACGTAACTCAGCTATTTATATGACTAATTTAAAATTATTTAGTGAAAAGGTTCTAAAATCCTCAAATACCGTTTTACAGAATTGGTTGGGAAAATACTAAAGACACATACTTAGTAAATATTAATCATATGTAATTAAAGACATGCTGGAGTTTTACTTGAATTTAATACCATATCTCCATTAAATCCAAATTGCAATATGAAACATAAAAGAGTCACTGAATAATCTAAACTATCTGAAAGATAATATCAACCTCTTGTTCCAATACACAAGATACACGTAACTCAAAACTCACTAATGATTTCCAATATGATGTCTCAAAATTCAAGGTAAATATGCAAAAGTGGAAATAGTTTCTCTTCCCACTCCAAATTCCACAGTAAATTACTATATGCTTGAGACAAAAAAAAAAAATGATTGTTTCATTGTCCTGATATCATTGTGTCAGATCCTGAGACCTTAATGCCTCAGATGGTGCCACATTAAAAAAAGTTCTCAAGAGTCAAAACCCCATCTATTATGGTAAATCACAGTGTAATTTAGTTTGGATCATGAATAAGAATTTGCTTCTATCCCAGCTGGAAGTGGTTTGAAGCATGTGACTTTCAAAACTGCATATATATGAAGTGCAGAATATTATTGCCTGACGTTGCAGGTACATACTCAAAAATTCTAACTTTGACCGTAAAGAGCAAACCAGATTTTCACTCAGAGATAAACATTCACCTTACTGGCTCCTCTAGTAACATATTTGTGCTATCAGAGGTGCACTAGAAGAAGAATGCATTCAGCAACATCTCTCATAAAAAAATGTGGAAAGGGGCTCAGTATCTAGTAGTAGAAATGAAGAATGATGCTGCTTACTAGCTTATGTACATACTTACAGTATTTCTGTACTGTCTATAAAACCTTGTCACACACCAGTATCCAGCAGAACTTTGGTACAAACAGAATGGAAGTCCTGGCCCTAAATACTTCCCCTTCTAAGTTCTGGAGAAGAGTCAGGGAAGTAAAACCAACTGGTACACATTTTCAGCACAAAAAAACCCCCAGCCTACAATTCATGTGGGCACTAATAGCAAAGGAGAGCTTTAAAAACATACGAAAAAAAGCAAGCAAAAAGGAAATCCTGAGGCTTTTACAGGAATCCCCTCCCAAGGGGAAGGGCAACTTGGAGCAAAGTTTGAAGCTGCTTGTTGAATTTTCAAACAAGCTGGCACATGGGCTGGCATCAGCACCCAAGTATAAAGGTCAGGGTCACGCTAGAGCAAGACAGGCTTCAAAAACGAAGACAAGTTGTTTGCATCTCATATATAGCTCTATAGAAAGCCTGAAAGTTAATGGCACAGGGAAAGCAGACTAGGAAAACCACACCTGCAGCAACTTTCTAAACTAATCCCAAAGTTAAAATCAAACTCGTCAAAGCCAGGTATCATTTGGCTTTATTTTTTTCTTTTTTTACCTGATGTCCTATTTTCCTCTGCCTGCTTCAGATTTAACTGTTTCTCTCTGCTACTGTTCAAGTACTTCCATGCTGGATCACTCAAGGCTTTATTATTCCTACAGACAAACAAGAGTGGTAGTCAGTGCAGTTATAAAAGATACAGGATATTCCTGCTTGGTATTTACAATTTGTTTAAAGCATTTCTCTCCTATCACCTTTAATACTTGACTATGGAACGGTTGAACTTCACTTGCAGATCAGTTTAACCTGTTTCTTTAAACAAGCCTTCTTAGTTATGTTTAAATGTGATTTCAACCACATGGTGCTTATTCTCCAAATCACAATTTCCCTTTATGAATTTTGTTTTGACAAGGGTCAAAGAAGTTCAATAAAGAAGGTATCTACTGCTATACATGTATAGCACATGATAGCCCAGACTAGACTGACAGAAGAAAGATGACAAAATTTGCATACGCCAGTTCCCGCAAGTCAGCTGCGGAAGCAGGTTATATTTCCTTCATTAATCCTGAATGCAAACCCCATTTCAAGCACCCAGTGTGTTCACAAGTTCACTAGTGGTTGGCCTGTACCACATTGCTGAGACAGGAAATACCCAGGTATTCTTTTCAGGAAAAAATCCCTTTACAAATGAATGAAGAGTTTAAAATCAGGAACTAGAAAATACAGTTACTTACGTTGAAGAATCATTCTCTTTGGGATAATCTTCACTCATTTCTGAACCAGGAGGTTGTGTCCTTTTCCTCTTTTCACTGATGACAGAAAATTTTTGAAGTGGTCATTCTTTCAGAAAGGCTAGTAAGTGATCCCCTTCCAAGTGAACAGAACTCCTCAATGTTTTCTGTGTATTTTGCACCTATCTTCTACAATCTCCACTTTTATAACATAGCATACAGAGAATGATTTAGTCTGCCCAACTCTTAAGCAGTTGATAAAGCTCTAGCGCCAGTACCAGCCAGAGGCTAGAAAAGCACTTATTAACATCCTGCTAAAAGTAACAGCAAAATCAGAGGAAGAAACATTCCCTTCTTACTTCTAGGTGTACCACATTCCACCTGTAGCTCTACAGAGAGCTAAAGTTTAGCAATATCATGGTAAGAGGATAATGCTCCTACCGATTCTCCAACAAGCCCGTTCTGTGGGGGACTGAGGACGCAGGAGATGCTGAGATGTTCACCCTGTTGCTAGGTGTTCCAGTTCCAGAGGAATTCTTAATGGACGCTCTCGGGGGAGTACCCAGTACCTTGCGTAATGCATTTTCCTCCTTACTTTCCACGACCACTCTTTTGGGAGGAGTCTACAAAATCCAAGTGGAGGGGGCAGGGACAGAACCATAACAATGAAAAACGCAGAATCAAATCAGTTGGAAAAGACCTTTAAGATCATCAAATCCAACTTCTACCCCAGGACTGCCAAGCCCACCATTAAACCGTATCACTAAGGGCCTCATCTACACAGTTTCTGAACATTCCCAGGGATGGTAATTCTACCACTGTCCTTGAAAGCCTGTGCCAACACTACTACTAGTCTATTCTAACATTTACACCACTGCTTTACTTGCTACAGTGTAGCATCCAAAACCAGAAAAATGTTACTTGTAATAGCTTGAGCTTAACACCAATTAGACATAGGTAAAACTTTGATTATATAAAAACATGAGGCATAAACATGAAACTCTACTTCAGTAATCAATTTCCCTTCTCATTTTCCAACGCTAAGTCAGTTAAACTTTAGTTTTAAAAAATCTTCTTCATGTGCACTGACATTAAAAATCTCAGGGCATGATTTCTGTCAATCCCCGAATCAATCCTAGGGAGTGGGTATTAAAAAAAAAAAGCCATATTAAACCCCACATAATTAGAACAGTGCCCTAACAGCCTTGGGCAAGCAAGTGCCACATGTAATGCAATGGAAAGAGCCAAGTTGACTAAGGAATGTCGGTCAATTTTAGACTTGAAACCTAAACAAGTCTAATCTTACCACTGTATACAGAGCCTTGGAGTTTTTGCTGTGATATTGCCTTTAAGCAACACGCAAAACTTGTTTTGGGACAACATCAAAAATATCTTCCCTCAGGGTGGTAATACAGGTATATTCACAAAGTAAATTAAAGCTGGTAGATACATCATGAAATCTGCATTATGCAGGGAGAAAATGAATAAAAACATTTTGAAGGAAAAACACTTAGGAGGGAAAAAATCTGCAAAATTTACACAAAAAATCTGAGCAGAATGCTACAAATTCAGTGACTTTATTCTGATGCAAAATCAGGTCAGTGGCTTTATATATTATATATAATATATATATTTGGCTGAAGTCTGCTAAACTCAGTAAGATCTATGCTGACTGTAACAAGTTCAGCTGCTACGTAAGGTATTCAGTATGAACAGAGATATCCACAACTGTGTGAGAAGCAAGACTTAATCATGTATTTTCCCCACTATTTCTGCTGCTTCTCTGCCCGACTGACAGCTCAGCATGAAGAACATATTCTGTCTTCCACAGCCAGACACTGACCTTCCTTATTCATATATTCATACTGAATATATGACTCCTCATGAGCAAGATACAGCATTGCCAACCACCCTGTATACATCTATTCTAAGCCCTCTAGATTACAAAGACTTTGGATGCAAAGTAAGTATTTACACTGCTATTATAGCATACATTAAGAGAATGAGAGAAGGAAATGAATGAAAGAAAATTAGAGAGGAAAAATTTGAACAATTAAACAAACCTGGTTCTCTATGTAAGAGAATTGCCTGTTAACTTCCTTCTGTGTGGTCCTGCTGCCCAGCACACCTCCAAAGCTGCCAGATCCCTGAGAGGGTTTTCCAACTGACAGGAAAAATACACAACATTTTATTTGTCTGTCATTTAACCAATTGGCATTCTTATTTGTAAGATGTTATTTAGCTGGAGCTGCTTTTGGAAGGGACACACTAGATTTCTTGCCAACAGACAGTACAACATTCTGAGGGCACAGACATAAGCACATGTTTATGTTTATGGGTATCCCTTATATTGGTCATTTACTCAGTTGGCAGTAAAGATCCTATCCTTAAAAAGAACAAAATAAAATAAGAGGCAAAATAAAAAGGAAAGAGGCTCTGCATGCGTGATAAACAAGAGTGTTTGAAATACCAACCGACTATAATATATGCCATACCTACATGTTAATCTCTGCTTATTGTTCAGCATGACAAGAGGTATATGATGAGAAAGGTATGTAACAAAAATTGGGGTTCAGGGCCAGAAAGCACTTACACAAATGCAAAGAAAGCCAGTAACACAAGGACAAAATGGCTAAAGATATATAAAAAGGCAACACAGCACTGACCCCTCTCCAAACTGTTAACAACTTGATTTACAGCTATAGCACTTACCAGTATGAAACCTGTCTTGATGGACTGCATCCAAATACATCCGCATTTCATTGGCATCTTTAAATGGTACCTTATCTATTGTCAGGAAGCTGGTATCCTTTAGTGTTAGCATTAGGCAGCACAGCTTTCTACCATTTGGTCGTAGTGTCACAGTTTTAATGTTATGGCTTAGCTGAAAATAAGAAGGTGACTATAAACATAAGTCCATTTTTAAAAGGCCCAAACACTTAATTCAAACAAACCACTTCAAATAGAGGCACTCGCACCAAAATACTTCTCATTGCTCATTTCAAGCAAATATGAAGCCTCACAGTATTAACGCAACTTGTGGTCTTGGAAGCTGATAGTATCACTACAGCTCAACAGTCCCTATAAGCCCAGATGAACTTTCTGAAACTTGCTTTGCTGTTGAGTGTGACATTTTTGAATGTAAAGAATAAGAGTTTCACACAGTCCCATTTAGCTGTCTAAAACTTCCACATCAAGTTTGAAATATAATTTAAGATTTAAATGTTAACTACAAACTTCTACTGAGTTTATAATTTGCTCTTAGGGAAGACAGATTTGACATAGCTTAAAAAAGTTTGCTGAAGGAGTAAGTTTATAAGAAACATGCTTAGTCTATATGCAACGTTATAACAATTAAGTTAAAAGTCAAAACTTTCAGTGTTATGGTCAAGCACAAGAATAATTTTAATAAGAATCTGTGCTCCCTAATAATGCCACTGCTACTTTATTATACCACTACTTAATTGTTACTACATGGTAGGTCACCTATAAGAACTGGCTGTTCAGTAAAGGCTCCACTATCTAAGGAGGTTGAGGGTAACTTCTAAAGCAGAGGAAGCAAAAGAGTCCCTCACACCTGCAGACTGCATGGAAGTTTAACAATACGTACCTAAGCACACTCTCATTTTCAATTACCTCCTCCTTTTTTGTTTAATTCTTCATTTTAGCCTTCCCTAAGATCATGCGCTAGCTACACAATGACCTCCACACCAGGATATTGCTATACTCAATGCTTCATACAAGATCAGAAACCATGGCCAAGGTCATTGAACACTACACAAGACAAAGTAAAACACTGCCCATCAGATTGGAGCTCTCTCCTAATTTGGCTTGACCTGCATTCTGCCACACCACCGCGCTAAACAGGGAGGAATTAATAGACATGAACAGTAATTACACCCTAACACCAAAGTTTCACTATGCATTGCTCTAGAACCTGTTTTGTTGCCTTCAAATTACACACAAGTTTAAAAAAAAATTATTCCTGACTTTTATTTAAATTTCTTCAGGTATATAGAAGACTCAGACAGTAAATGGCACTCTGTGTCCCCCAGTGAGATTTCTTTTTTTCCATGCAGATCTCTTAACTTCTTGGAAAGTCAATCTAGACACAACAGTAGTTTATCAGAGGCTGGAAAACCTCAATTGGAAACTAAGGGTTGCTTTGCTGGGAAAATTAAACTTATGAAATACTTTATGCTCAATCCTTGATTTGTTCTGGGGCTTTGTTTCGGTTTCTTTTTTTTTTTTTTTTTGGGTGGGGATGGGGGTTGGGTGTGTGTTTGGGGTTTTGTTTTGTTCTTTTTTTTTTTCAACTATAAGCTAAAAAATGTTTTCAAAGACTTAAGAATTGAAAAAGGGGGCTCGAAATTTTTGCCCCCCTCAAAATATTAGGCCTGATGCAAAGGGGTTAAGTTACTTTACCATCTCAGTGCAAAACAATCTCTTTCAATCCAAAACCCTATCAAGACAGGGTTCCATCCATACTCTCCACCCACCCATTATGACCTTGTCAGCAAAGTCTTGCAAGGTGGGGGTAAATGTTTCTCTTAATATATATCTAGCATTTGGGACAACTTAGTCAGAGCTCTGAAACATCAGTAAAACGTATCATTTGACATAAGAAATCTGATGACACACCAGTCACTGTAGAAAAAAATTTAACCCTGGATCCATCCAAATGTTGTATTACAGAGAAGTGAAACAGGTGGAGAAATCACCAACATTTCTCCCAGAGCAACTTGTCAAAGAAAGGGAATGCTACTTTTAAAGCAAAACTATAAGGGACTTGTCACGCCTGAGGCAGCACATATAAGAGCGCTGTGACAGACTGGGGCTGGCTCACCCAAACTGCACTCAAGCACAAGCCTGCAGCACAAGGGGCAGACAGCTCTCCCTGCCTGCTGCTTGCCTCACCAACACTCTTGTGCCAGTGTCTGTGATGCTTCAGGATGAACAGGACCAGAAAG